AGCCAGGCGGATCTCTGTGAGTTCAAGGCCAGCCTGGGCTACCAAGTGAGCTCCAGGAAAGGCGCAAAGCTACACAGAGAAACCCTGTCTCGGGGGAAAAAAAAATCAAGACAATGTAACGAAAGAAAAGCACACCCGAACACACGGGGTCCATTTTGTGTTAGCCCACTCCTCCTGAGCTTGGGTCCTGTCTTGGAGTGTGGCTGACGTATCCAGTCACACTCCATTGGAGAAAACTGATTTTTCCCTTTCCTAGTAGGTATCAATTGCAAATCGCTTCTCGGCCAGGGGTGGGATTTTGTGTCCACCTCCCCTTCTCAGTGCTGGGATTTTGTTCTGTTGCTATGACAAAATATTTGACCAAAGAAAACTGATGGAGGAAGCGTCCATGGTGGCTCACAGTTCCACGGATACAGTCCATCACGGCAGGGGCAGGAAGCAGCTGGTTCATTTCACCCCAGGCAGGAAGTAGAGACGCTGGAACTCAGTTCACTTCTCCTTTTTAGGTGGTCTAGGACCCCAGCCCACGGACCAGTACGTAGTTCTCCTCTCCTCAGTTAACCTGATCTAGAAACTGCCTCCCAGAAACGGCCAGAGATTTGTTTCCGTGGCGATTCTTAATTCCGTGAGGTTGAAACAGTTACCCATCACGTTTTCTAGGCTGATACCTTCAGCTTAACTTAAGCTTCAGCTCAGCTCTGTGGGGGATTGAATAAGAATGGCCCCCATAGGCTTGTACGTTTGAAATCGTGGTCCTCAGTCTAAACTGTTTGGGAAGGGTTAGTGTGCCCTTGTTTAAGGAGGTGTATCACTAGGGGGTATATCACAAGAGTCAAAAGACTTGTAATTCCCAGTCTCTGTCTGTCTGTCTGTCTGTCTGTCTGTCTGTCTGTCTGTCTGTCTCTGTGTCTGTCTGTCTGTCTCTCTCTGCCTATGGATTGAGATGTAGCTACTGCTCCAGCACCATGCCTGTCTACCTCCTGCCATGCTCCCCACCATGAGGGTCATGGACTCTGACCCTCTGAAACTATGAGCCCCCAATAAACGCTTTCTTTGATAAGTTGCCTTGGTCATCATGGTGTCTTGTCATAGCAATAGAAAGACTCAACTTAAGTTTGATATT